AGCATCACTGAAGCAATGAACATGAAATTGAGCAAACTCCAGGAGGCAGTGAAGGACAGGAAGGCGTGGCGCAATATGGTTCATGGGGGTCAAGAAGACACAACTTAATGACTGAACAACAACAAGTTATACCACTGCGTGGCATATTTACCAAAGCTCCAAATAGTATAGGATTTAGATTTGTTTGGAAAAGACAGCACTAATTATTATTTTCCATTTCTGTATACACAAATTCAGCTTTGCTTCATATACATATACAAAAGCGGCACAAAAATGCAGAGAAAGAGATATTTACCCATAGAGAAAGATCCTGTACCCTTATCCAAATCCTATTTTCCAAACCATCAAACTGCTTCAATCTTTATTGTGGTATGTGTACCCAAATTCTCTGAGTGGTAATAATTTTCAAAAATGCAGTGCTTACCAGATCTGGTTTCCTTTGGAATCAGAGCTTTACCTGTAATTTTTGTAAATATAAACATTAAGCTTGGATGAAAAGGTGCACATCTTCAAAGTTTTACTGCTCTTGCATCAGATTATCCAAAACAGCTCATATGCTGTAGTGTTCCAGTTTAGTTCTTAATCCCTCTCTGATTCAAAACTGAAACCTTGTCCTTTTCTTTTGAAGTCTAGCTTCCCATACCCAGATAATGGGAGAAAGAGGATGAATTCCAATCTAGTATAAGAAACCAATCTTCTCCAAACTGGTGCCCTCTTGGATTATTGGATTACAACTCACATTATTCCTAGCCAGTTTAGGATGATAGGTGTTGCAATCTACCATTAGGAAAAGCTAGTCTGAGCCTTCCTGAGCTATTTTAGAACATCATCTGAATATTACTGGCTATTTCAGCTGCCTTCCAGATATATAGGGATGTCAGTTCCCATGATGGGTGGGAGTTCTGGGAGTTGCACAATTCTGGAGGGTATCAAGTTGAGAAAGGCTGCTTTTTAATAAAGATTTCCTGAACCCAAATGACACAGTTCACAAACTCTGCTTTGCTTGCCTTCGGCTTAGTATATTGCATGAATCCTGCCATTGTGGCTAGGGTGTGATTTTAGCTAGTTATGGTTTACTCAACAAATCAGACTGGACTAAGTTGTAGTTTAGTGTAAAATATGAACCCAAACAAAGATTCCTACTGGGTGCCTCCCTAATTTCTTATTTATTCATTTTTCTGTTATTGAATTTAAACTCTGCCTTTCTGTTTATTCTAGTACTCTTGAAAGGCAACTCAAAACCATGCTAGAAGTCAGGGCTGTTCACAGGATATAGTCAAAAAAGTCAATGTGGGAGCTGTGATAGTGCAGTTGAAGTTCCCCCTGTTTTTTATATGTATCACTAGATGTTATTATTCTTACATTTGTTTAATCAAAATTGACCTTCCTCTTATTTAATCTCTCAGTGGATAGGGTGAATGTGGATAATTACTTCCTTTCTTTAGAAAAAAAATGAAGCAATCTACATATGCTTTTCTTTTCTCGATTTTAAATTTGGTCAGTTATCTCAGCAGGTCTTGTTATGATTTATCTTTGTAGATGTATTACTATTCTTAAAGCTTCTATCTACATTATTTTCATCTTGTCCAAATACATATTAAACTGATGACAGTACTCCAAATTTGTTTTTCTTCCCTGAATTATTATCTTTTGAATTGTGGAAAACAATTGTATTAATCCTGTAAATGTAATCTAAAGTGGAGTCGGTTGCTTTTTATTTATTTGTTGCTCACTGTTGCATCTATATCTTTTTTTGAATGAGTGTTGACATGCTGTCATTATAGATGTATGTCAGGATTAGCTTCATTCATACATTTATTAGGATGTATACCTAAGTGCCTTTAAATTGTGCGTACAAAGCTAAGAGTAATTAATAATTAAAGAAGGTACTTGGAAGTTATGTTGCCAAATAGGCCTTGTCTGAATATAAAAGATGAGTTCAGGGACAGGATGCATAACTTTTTTTGGTCTGAGAACTGCATTTGGCCTTCGAGAGATATTCCAGAGGCCAAAGTAAAATTTTAATAAATTAAATGAAATTGATAAAAGCTCAAATATTGCTCCATGTATATGTAATTATTTCTCCTTTCATTTTTATAATTACAATTTAATGGCAACTTTTAGAGGGGCTCTGAAGGGCCCCACACAAAGCCATGGGGCTTTGAGGTCATAGCTGTACCCCTTTGGTTTAGTGAAGTGGTAGGGAATGGCAGCCTGCAATGCTATTGGAAGCAAATTGTTGTTGCTTCCATGACGGTGAGGCTTAATGCAATCTTCTTTACATGGTGCTACCCTTGAAGATAGTTCAGCATCTTCATCTGGTCTAAAATGTGACTGCAAAGGTTCTGGTGGGAATCTGTCCATTCAGATTATACTGTATAAGATCAGCTCTCTGTATTCTTACTAGTTACCAGTCTGAACTCAGTGCTGGCTTTAATTTTTAGAGCCCTAAAAAATAGGGGATCATAATATCTTACTAATTTTCCCTCTCTACTCCCACCCCCTATGACTCTGCCCAGGAGTTTTATTTCATAGTTAAACACACCTTTGCATTTTCCTGTCTTTTGAGCTTGCACAGGTTCAATTATTGCAGTGTTTCTCAACCTCAGCAACTTTTAAGATGTGTGGATTTCAGCTCCCAGAATTCCCTAGCCAGCATGCTCGCTGGGGAATTCTGGGAGTTGAAGTCCACACATCTTAAAGTTGCTGAGGTTGAGAAACTGAGTTATTGCACCCAAGACTTGGAAAGGCCTTGTACATAAATGCTACTCTTGTGCTCAACAAAGGTTTAGGTCACCTGGTTTAACATATTACATTTTATTTCTGAAGCCAGTTTTTGTAATAAGAAAACCCCATTATTTATCTGCCTATCTACTCAAACAAAGATGTTCCTGGATTTGAGGAAGTTCATAACCCAGAAACAATAGGATGGCTGGTATGCTTGAAGAGAAGGGGTCCCACTGCAGAGGCCCACTCAGTGCCCCAAGGCGCCCATTAAGGCCATTTGGAGAAAGCAAACCAGTTGCAGATTTGGAAGAGCACTCAAAGGAGAACACACTGGATTTGTCAGAGAGAAAGGGGGCAAATTTTGTCCAAGGGGAGTGAGAAGGCTCTTTTTCACATCTCCATATTGCAAGTGTGTGTTTTCCCCAGTGGGGTGAAGCCGGGACTGGGCAGCCAGCTGCTGTTCCAGTCCAATATTTTTGGCCCCCCACCATAACTTTGAGCGAAAATTCTTCCTCCCCCAGCAGCGGAGGCTAAGATAAGGCAATGCAGCTGAGCTGACCGTACCGGTTCTGGGCTGGGGGGTAGGAGTGTGGCCCGTTCTCCTTCCACAAACCCTCAGTTTGCCCGCCGTTTCCTTTGCTTTATTCCCAGCCGAAGCGGGCGGTGGCGGTGCCCTGGCGCGCTGCAATCCGTGGCTGAAGGCGACCCGTATAGGAGGGCGCGCGGCTGGGCGCCCGGGGTTTGGGGGAAGGGGGTCGTGGAAGAGAGGAGGGGAAGCCGAAGCGGCAGCTCGAGAGTCCGCGGTCCGATTCCGGCAGGCAAGATGAGGGCAACGGTGAGCGGCGGCGGCGGCTGCCGGCTGGGCTGCGCAGCCCCGGGCGCCTGGCCGTCGTGCCTCAAGTTTCCCTCAGGAGGGCGGCCTTGCGGGCGCCGCCCCCGCCTCCTCCCTGACGCGGGCTGCGAAGGGATGCCCTGATGATGGAGCGCAGCGGAGTCGCGCCCCCCGCCCTCCCCTCTGCGCCGCGG